ATGTAAAAATTTCCTGAAATGGTCCGTATTCGAAAAATTTGACAAAATGTGCAAAATTCTGATTTTTATGAAAATTGTTGAAATAAAAGTTGTTTGCGATATCGATCTCTATAATATTTGTTTATACATGATTTTTTTAAAATGGACCGTAATGGAAAAATTGTAGGAAAAGTGCTAAATTTAAATTTTTCAGTATTTTCATTTTCAATGAATATCTATAGAAAAATGTTTCGCGGTAGATGTATGTGGACAATGTATATATTTAGTTTATCCTCTAAACATTTATAGAGATGCTGCAATAGGTTGTACAAAATAACCGGAAAAGGCCTGTAATACCTAGATAGGAAAGTCATGTGTTGGACACATCAGATTTTTATAAATATATTTGTTGAATCTTATTTTTTTAAAGGCTACAATAATTCTCTTTTACCTCAATTTTATATAAGTTTTAATTAATTTCCTTTTGATAAAGCTAGAGTTTATTTTTCTCACTAGCTTTCTAAAAATAAAAAAAGAATTATTGGCGCCCATCTCTCCCAGAAAACTATTATAATATATTATATTATAACCTAATATCCAAGCAACAGTTTGGATTTAAAGAAAATACTTCAACTGAGGATGCTATACTAGAACTAACGGAGAAGATCCACTCATCATTAGAAAAAGGAAAACCCTGTCTTTGTCTATTTATAGACCTAAGTAAAGCATTCGACACGGTTAATCACCGCCTGTTGCTGAAAACTTTGGAAAATATTGGAATTAGAGGAAATTGCCTAGAAATATTTAGGAGTTATCTGAATGAGAGAAAACAGCTAGTTAAAATAGGTAATGAATATAGCAATTTTGAATACATAGAGTGTGGCGTACCCCAAGGTACAGTTTTGGGACCCTTGTTGTTCAATTTGTATATAAATGATATATTTCAATTAAATAGATCTGGATATATAATTGGTTATGCCGACGACACCGCAATTTTTTATGAGGCAAACAATTGGTTAGAGCTAAAGAAAAAAGTAGAAATAGATTTCACCATTATAAAAAATTGGCTTGATAACAAACTTTTAACTGTTAACTTGGACAAAACAAAATTTCTACCTTTTAGTTGTAATGTCACAGGGGCTTCTCCTTTTCAAACTTTGGAATTTCCTACAAGTGCTAACTTAATAGATATACGATCGGTCTCAGAAATGAAATACTTGGGAGTGCATATCGATACACATTTAAAATGGGATATCCAGATAAACTACATTGTTAAAAAGTTACAGTCAATTTTACATAAATTTAAACAGCTTAGTAAATGCCTACCGCAGCATGAGTTAAAAAAACTATATTCAGCACTTGTTGAAAGTCACCTGAGATATGCAATAACAGCTTGGGGTTCTGCTTTAAAGGTTCACTTAACACCGTTAGAAATAATCCAAAAAAGATTTCTAAAATTAATAATGGGCAAACTCTATAGATATCCAACCGAAAATCTATTCGCAGAAAGTAAAGTATTTGATGTCAAACAACTTCTCTTTTTTAGTACCAATGTTAAATACCATTTTGGAAATAAAAAAACTACCAATCGCGAACACCACCACTTCACTAGAAATTACAATCTTCACACTTACCCAATAATAGTTAAAAAATCAATTTCTCAACGAGCATACTCTTATGTCGCTTTAAAATGTTACAATACTTTGCCTGAAACACTAAAAAGAATAAATAATAAAAATTTGTTTAAAACAAAGCTGAAGTTGTTTATAATGGAAAACCACAGACAATTCATATCTAATATTTTAGGATAAGTTTTACCTAAATTCCAAAATCTATTAACAAAAAAAAAAAAAAAAAAAAAAAACTTATGAAATGTTATTAAAAAAAAAAAATTAGAATTTTGCTATTTCCAAAATAAGAAACACTTACCCGGATTATACATACTTACATGACTTGACAAAACTAGCCAGATTAGACATACTTACTTGGATATAACATTAACATTATCTATTTTCTTCTATTATTAAATAAATATAATTATATATATATATTTTATTTTTTTTTTTTTTTTACCGTAATTAGAATAATTAATTCATGTAATTAGGATAATTAGATAATAGTGTATATTGTGTACAGCGAAACAAGTACTCACGTACTTATTGCTTCTTACTTTATTCTTGTAAATAATGTTTAATTGTTTCTAAAATTATTTATATTATATTGTATTGTATACCTACATGAATAAAGTTATATTATTATATTATATTATTATTAAAGGTGTCTATTTGAAAAGCCGAATTCACGACTGAGAAAACTATATGGTCAATGTGCTAATTTCTTTTTAATTTGATTAAATGTAAGTAATTTTGGTGTTAAATTTCTATGAGCTAGTCAAAATTTCTTAAAAGTGTTTTGAAATTAACATTTTTTTGCAAAGTAACGCCGTTCTATTACAAAGCTTCAGTCTGTATTTAGTACCTATAAATAAACATATGAGCCCCCTCGTGAGCCCCTTATCCAGTTAATCGAAATAAAAAAAAACGCATCGATCTGTTAAGCTGAATTACTCGAAAACGGCTGGTCTGACGAAAATTTTCAATCAGACCTTTTTTATAGAGAATTTAATTTTATATAAAAATAAGTAAAAAGGAATGTTTTTTCTCTTTAATGTTTTGACAGTACTAACGTAAAACATCAAATTATGACTAAAAATCAAAAATAGCGGTGATAGACCTCTTAAAATTAATATTAAGGACTCAAATTTTCACATTTTTTTTTTGTCATCCTAAATGACATTCTCGATATATTTTTCAAGAAAAAAAAAATCAATTTTTTGGCCCAGTCTACTATATATCTAGGCAGTAAAGTGGCTATTTTCCAGACCAAGTAAAGATATGGACAGAGGCGGTGCGAAGCCAAGCCTGGACACTTTGCGAGACCTGGGCTAGTATTCTCGAATCACGAATACCGACATTCGCATACGTGTTTTACAATGTGTCTCACTTTGTTGAACGAAAACCAAGTGAGACAAATCATAAATCTCGCATGCGAATCTATATTCGTGACTCGAGAATACTACCCCTGGATAACCTTTGAGGTACTCCATTACTCACAAAAAAAGAATCATAGAACTCGGACATGGTAAAGAATTACCGCTAAACATACATAAAAAATGAATGGTTTTAGGACTTTCTAATGGATTTTGACCAAATTGATATGGGACCACCCCTGAAGTACCCTCTTTCTAACAAAATAAGAATCAATGAAATCGGACACCGTATTAATGAATTATCGCCGAACATACATAAAAAATATTACGACGAATTGAGAACCTCTCTTTTTTTGAAGTCGGTTAAAAACTATCAAAAATACAAAAAAAATGAAGACCTACCTCCTCATGACCACAAAGGACTCGATGGTATCACCAAAAAAAAAAACGAGATTGATGGAGAAATCTGAAATGTCCAGTAGATGGGAAGGGCAGGAACATCAACTGCTATGATTATTAGTCTCGTGTTCCATTCATATTATTCTCTTCAGACAGTAGTTTGAGAAGAATATAGGTTTACTTTTAAGAAACCGAATTTTTTAATATTGTACCAAAATCCTTTTCATCAAATTTTAATTTTTTTTTAAAATGTCCGTTCTTGCGTTAGATGAAAATTTTAGGAAAAATTGATTTTGAAAAAATCTGAATAAAAATGGTGGTTAAGGGGGATTAAAAAAAATCCTCACTCAAAAACTAAAAATGATATCAACTTAAAATTTTTAGCAAAAATCAAGGTCTATAAGCGGACGAAGCCTGTTGATTTTGAAAAATATCTGATCATTAGTTGTTGAAATAACTCGGGAATAAATTTAGAGACTTTGACAAAATATATATTAATAATCGATTTCATTTTTACAATCAATGTCAAAAAGTGACAAAATAATAAAATCAATCAACCACAATAAATATACATGGTGAATAATGGAGAATTATACCGGGCAGTTTCAACATTAGTAAGGGCCAAGGGGAGTTGAAATTATATATAGGTATATAAAAAAATCAAATCAAAAGCATAAAGGCAAAAACATAAAATTGTTACTTTCCTGTCTGTATATAGATAAGGAAAGTATAATAATCATAATTTTTTCGACCTCGAGTTTTTGACGAATTTTTACGTTTTGGGGTCCCCTGAATCCATTTTGACTATTTTCGCAATGATGTTAGATTTTGGGCAGAGTTGGAATATCTGGGTGGGCGGTATTTTATACTTTTTATTGAATATATCTGTTATTTACACTTGGAGAAGAAAAGTTTTCAAACAAAAATATCTTGTAATGTTTTCACATACATAATTTTTTTTAAAAAAGGTCCGTATTCGATAAATTTGAAAATGTACAAAATTATAATTTTTAAGAAAATTTTTCAACTAAAAGTTGTTGACGCTATCGATCTCTATAATTTTTGTTTTCTCTAAAATTGACCGTAATGAAAAAATTGGAGTAAGATGTGTAGAAAATATATATATTTAGTTGATTCTCTGAACATTTACAGGGGTAATATAATAGGTACAAAATAATCGAAAAAACCCTGTAATAACTAGACAGAAAAGTCTTTACTTTCCTATCTGTATACAGTCAAACTTGAGTGTGTTTTATAATTAGAAAAAGTAAAATTATTTATATATTAAATTATTAAAACATAAATGAAACATGGAACAATGGTATAATCGGCAGCAATCCCATTAAGCTTATAAACAATTTTTTCGTAGTACGGAATCTGGGACACTCTGTAGGTAATCTTGAGGCTTCTGGATGCTCTTGTTGCACAGTTATAGCCGCAGAGGCAGGCACATCACATGGTCCACCGGTCAAGGCCGAGCACCTGACTCTCTGACTAGCCGATGAGACTCTATTGGTGACATTGACTCCGCGAAGAACTAGCACTAGTACATCCATCGCGCATCTTCGGCGGCGCGACGGTTTGCACTCTCTGCACGGTTTGGATTCTTCTTCTTATTCTTCTTCCGAAGACAATTGGTTATCTACGGCCGGTCGTCAGGGTTTCGTCCTGCTGCTGTGAATGTTCGTCCTCCGTTTGTGCAAGAATTTTTTAATTGACGAGATATTTTAACCGACATCGATCGACTCGGCGTTTTTTGTTCTTCAAATTTTTGGAGGGTATGTTTAATTTTTTATTTCTAAAAAAATTTCGCGAATTGTCTAAAATATATATTTTTTTTTGTATTGTGAAAAAAACTAATTTGGCTTTATTTGTTTAAAAATAATTTCAAATTAATCAAACGCTACCTAAACAATATAAGTATATAATTTAGGAAAATACATTCATTGCAAATTTAAAAACCAAACGGTTCTTTTTTGTTTCGCGAAACATTGTTTTGTTTTATACAGGAATTGTTACAATCATTCTAATTTATTTTAGCATCCAGATATAAGGCGTTTTAAAAATTGCTGAATATTTTTTATAGTTTGTTCTATAAAGTTGGATCCATATGAGAATTTTTTTAAATATTCCTATTGGAAAAATACGCTGTATGACAATAATCTCTGCTTATTTAAAAACTTAAAACAGCCCATATCAAATTTGGCTACTGACATTAGTTTTCTGTCAAATTCGCATTTAAAAATAAGATAAAAGGGCATTTTTTAACGACTTTTCGAAAAAGTACCGAATTTGACAAATAACTAATACAGTAGCCAACTTTAATGTGAGCTATTTTAAATTAAAATTAACATGTCTAATGCTTGGCATTCTTTATACTCCCCCACAACCCTTATCTTCAATCAGATTTTTTTCAAGATCAGTAGGCTTCATGTCCTTATAAATCTTAATATTTACTAAATATTTTATGTTGATATTGCTTTTGGTATTTGGATTTTATTTTGTTTTATTTCAACCCACTTTATCCCCCATTTTGATCACAATTTTTTTTAAATCAATAGGCTTTATTCCCTTATAGAGCTTGATTTTTGCTAAAAATTTTAAGTACATAACTATTATTTTTCGTTTCTGAGTTAAGATTTTTTCAATATTTAAACCCCTTTATCCCCCCATTTTTATTCCTATTTTTTTTTTAGAATTAATAGGTGTTTCATTTCCTTGTAAGAGCTAAAAATTTAATAATGGTATCGCTTTTCATTTTTAAGTTATGATTTTTTTTTAATTTCAACCCCCTAATTTATTCAATTTTCATAATCAAAGAGCTTTTTCCCCTTATAGAGCTTGATTTTTGCTAAAAATTTCATGTTGATATCTTTTTCGTTTTAAGTTAGAATTTTTTTAAATAGTTGAACCCCCCCTCAACCCCCCATTTTAATTTGGATTTTACAGAATCAATAAGCTTCATCTTCTTATAGAGCTTGATTTTTTTATAAAAATTTCATATTGATTCGCTTTTCGTTTTTGATTTATGAGTACCGTATATAAAGATTTATAGAAAATAACTACAAACGGGTAATAATGATATTTATGGCTTGTATGATAAGATCTAAAACAGTTCAATAATACATTTGCTTCAATAACATAAAATTATTCATGAGTTATTCGAAAAGCCTCATTTTCGTCTTTGTAATTAAAATATTTTTTTGATTTGGTATGTACATATTATTTCTACAAACTCTAACGGCCAAAATAATTTGATAATGTTAATAGTGCTACCTCCTGAAGGACGCTATCATCTCTTCTACTATATTAGACAGAGCTTTAATTATTATTGGTTAAAAATGAGCATGTTCTTCCTTTTCTTGAAACTGAGTAGGTTCCCAAGAACGTTTTGTCATTTCAATCTTTGGTTTATTATTTTTTTGGTTCTCTTTTATTATTTACTAGTATTTCTATTGCTATTTCTTTTTTTTTTTTTTCATTTTAGTGGGTGAATATTTAAACTTGAGCACACTCGCTTAGCAGTCCATTACTAAATAAATAGGTATATATTATCATTGTCTACTATATTTTCTTTCTCGGGAACCTGTCTACATCTGAATCTACATGGAACCAAACGGAAACCAAATAACTACTCATACCAAACCCATTACAAACGAATTCGAAAAACAAGATGTAATTTCAACCACAAAAAAATCGCAGGATTATGCCCTATGTGTCATTTCATCATCCTGCAAATTTTCAACATTTTGGTTATGATATTTATTTTGCTCCGTACTTTATCCCAACTCTGTATACATGTATTTTTATTTTTGTTGTCATGGATGCCCAGCGTTTGAATATTCATACGCTCTAAATGATAGTCACATAATCTTATAACCTTAGAGCTTACTAATGCACAATTTATTAATTTTGATAATTAAAGACCTGTAAAATACTGGTAAGCTATAGGTACCTAAACTAATCCCCACATTTTTAATTAGACTTTTTTTAAAATCAAAGGGATTCTTTCTCTTATAGAGCTTAATTTTTGCTAAACATTTCAAGTTGATATCATTTTTTGTTTTTGAGTTAGAAGTTTTTTAATATTTTAATCCCCTTAACCCCCCAATTTTTATTAGGACTTTTTCCACTAATCAATACAGTTTGATTTTTACTAAAAATTTTAAGTGGATATCGCATTTTGTTTTTGTTTCGGATATTTTTAAATTTCACTCAACTAAACACTCCAATTTTATTTATTGGCTTCATCTCTATATAGAGTTTGATTCGTCCTGAAAATTTCAAGTTGCTATCGTTTCTCGTTTTTGATTTATGATTATTTTTTAATTTCAACTCCCCTTAACCCCTCTATTTTTGATCAGATTTTTTAAAAACCAATAAGCTTCATCCCATTGTAAGCTTGATTTTTCCTGAAAATTTCAAGTTGATATTGTTTTTAGTTTGGTTTTATGATTTTTTTTTTAAGTTTTAACCCCCTTAACCCCTCCATTTTTAATCAGATTTCGTCCCATTGCAAAGCTTGATTTTCTTAAAAATTTTAAAATTATATTCTTTTCTATTTTTGAAAGAAATACAATAGTATTTATCTATTCTATTTTTTTTAATTTCACCTTTCACTTTTCTATTTTTTTAACGGTTTAGATCAAAAACTATACCGGTAGCATTTTTAAATGATAACGCCTAGCAAATCGCATAAATTAGGTTAATCTTCGTTTCCAATGCTTAAAGCTTAAATAGAATGTTGGACAACCAATTAATTACAACAGTTGTAAAACATATCTCTACTATGTATTGTTCACTTTTCCTATTATCAGTTAACTTTTTTCTGTTTTTCGATAGTCTTCAGTTTTAAATTATAATAGAAATATGTAATAAATATAATTAGTAATTTAAATTTTTACGAACATCGTCTTAAATAAATTAGAAATTTTTATTTGGTTATTTCTAGGGAATAAAAATAAATCGTTTGTAACACCGATTATACGCTGAAAAGAGTATTGTGTTATGCAAATTAATTACCTCGAATCTCGACCACCAAGTTTGCATCCTGTAAGTAAACGGTTGTGTAAAAACTTGTTAAGTACCCACGCAGCCATTTAAAAGTTTATAAAATTATTATTCTTGAGAAATAAAATTTAAAAATATCCTTTAATTTACTGGGAATAAAGTGGTTGACAAAGAAGGACTTGCCTATTTATACAACAGATATTATTTATCAGATATTTGATATTGTTATATTTTATAAAAAAAAAAAGATCCCATTATGAAAATCTATACGAAAAAAATTTTTAATATCTAATAATTCTTATTTTCGGTATCATATCAGTAGAGTCCATGCCTCAATATAACAAGACTAAACTTTTAGAACGATACCGCAGTGGTGGCGGAAACGTCAAAGTTATGGCATCAAGTTTCTAACCTATTGTTTTTTCTCGGACATATCTAAGGGTTTGTTTTGGTTCAAACAGAATCGTTAATTCCAGTTATCAAATACAGTAGACGAATTCATTTTTCAAGAATACGTCGCGATAATAATCAACCTGAAGCTGAACGAGTGAAATTCACTGATTCTGAATTAGTTCGTGAAAGAACCAAAACAAGCCTAGTGATCGTGCCATATCATCCAAGGGGGTTCCTTGGGATCCATCCAAACTATCCGATTTAATTTTTTATTTTATATTTATTGTTGAAGTGACTATGCTACAGTAAAAAAAATTGTCTCCCTCCAAACTAAAATCGACCTATCCGAGCGTTTTTTAACATCCACGATATTAATACCCAAGTTTTCGTTGGACCATCTGGAAGTATATTTTCTGTAATACTTCAGTTTTTAAATATTTTATTCAATACATCATTTTATTTATTTCAATATTTACAAATTTGTAATAAATACGTATATTTATTTTACGCTGTAATAAACCAGATAATCCTTATTCTTATTACTTTTCACTTTTTACTTATGTAATAATAAACAAATTAATATTAGGTGTATTGTATATAGATATGCTTGCTAAAGATCCGTTAACCAAAATATATTTTTCGATTAGGTAGGGCAAAGAGAGGCAAGAAATTTAATTTAAATAAGTACGATATATTTTGAGAATACGGATTGCTGATGTAAATGCAAATAAATATTGACTGAATACATACATACATACAAATTATATTTATTAGGTATATAGTATGGTTTAAATGGAAGGAATAAATTCATTATAATGAAAGTATAACCATATTCCTCCTGAAATTAAAAAAATTATTTCTGTTAAACTATTTAAACCAAAAGGAAAACATTTTGGATACTTACGCAACCTAGGCTTCTATTTCAACAGTGTATCGATATTAACAACACCTACTACTAGTAATGAACAAATTCATAATAGTATATTACGTAACAAGAGTTGTAAGTAACCCATTGCGCACGAAGTGAAAAAGTTTAAGCACAAAGCCGCGCAGCGGTTTTCACCGAAATGTATCAAATTATTCCAAGTTTTATTTCGGTCAATCCAAAATTATTTAGCAATTCCGGTTTACTGGAAAACAAAATGGCGGTTTTTAAAAGACGTATTTGTTAAATTTTTTTAATGGAACACCCTGTATATTTTTTGATGCTCCGAAAGTCAGTCTTTTTAGCTATCTAGCGATATACAGTTTTTTGAAATAGATGAAGAAATGACTGAACAATTAAATTTTCTGAAAAAGCCTGCAAATCAATAATTAACAATAATTCTCATCAATGATTTTTGTGAAAATGTATTCAAAATCAATAGTCAACAATAATTATTGCTTATTAATAATATTCTAGTATAGCCAATTAACTTATTTAACATTTTAACAAACTTTTATTAAACAATTTAAGAATAATTTAAATGTTCTGTATGTCCTCCGTTTACATTAACACAATTGTGAAACGTATTAATACATTTTGGAGTATGCTCGACGTATACTATCTTTTAGCTCTTCTAAATTTTGAGGTGCAAGATTATAAGCAAAGCTTTAACATATCCCCAAATAAAAAAATCTGGCACTGTTAGGTCTGGCGAATTTGGAGCTCATCCAACTGGTCCTGTTCTACCAATCCAATTATTATTGAATTTATTAAAAACTGATTGATGAGCAATCAGTGAATAATGGGGAGGTACTCCATCTTGTTGAAAATAGATTTCATGTAATCCTGGTCAATTTGCAGGTAAAAAAATATTTCTAACATGTCCTTATAAATTGGACCAGTAACTGTCTTTTCGGTAAAAAAAATGGCCCGTAAATCACAGCACACCAAACATTCACTTTAGGAGAGTCTCTTACACTTTCATAAAATTCATGTGGATTCTCTTTACTCCAAATTCTACAATTGTGTCTATTGACGGCTCCATTTACATGAAAACTTGCTTCATCAGACATTATTAAAAGGAGCTCAGGATTGTTTCTTATCAAATTCAATAACGTCTCACACATATATAGACGTTTTTCTTTGTCTCTCTCGTATAATTTTTGGTGTAATTAAATTTTGTAAGGTTTCAGTTTCAGTGCTTGTAAGATTCTTTGAACTATGAATCTACTCATATTAAAATGTGACGCTATTTTTCTGATAGATGACTTGGAAGATTTAGTAACAAACTCGTATACACCAATGGTATCATGTAAAAGATTATCATTGCCTATATTTCGTTTTTTTCGGGCTAGTGATCCATTATTTTTGAAAATGTTAAATCACTTCATTATTGTTTTGTATGTCGATGCTGTTTTATTAAATTCTCTAAAAAATCTTCGTCTTGTTCGCATAATAGATTCTGTTTCAGCAAAATTAATTATGATACTTGCCTTTTCTGTTTCAGAAAACGACATTTTAATGTAAAAAGAATCACCTAAAACATTAGTCTAAGTTTTTAGAACAGTTAAAACAACAATTTTGACACTTCTTACAAACGTACCAAAGCCTACTATAAAATTATTGATGAGACTTATTGTTAATTATTGATTTTGCAGGCCTTTTCAGAAAATTTAATTCTTCAGTCATTTCAGGCTTTCGGAGCATTAAAAAAAATTAACAAATACATCTTTAAAAAACCGCTATTTTGTTTTCCAGTAAACCGGAAGTGCTAAAAAATTTTGGATTGACCAAAATAAAACTTGGAATAATTTGATACACTTCGGTGAAAACCGCATGTTTTTAAGTACTTTCGTTTAAAAGTTATAAGCTTGCTAAATGTTGAAAAATATAATGGGACACCCGGTATATAACTAAGGGAAGATAGCCTTTTGTTGTCCAAAATAGCATTTTTATACGATTTGACATAATAAATTTGAAATCTATTGATTTCGGAAACTATGCAATATTTTGAACCACCTGGTTTTTATTGAAAATATAAAATTTATCAATTTTCAATTGCAAGACTTTATCTTTATTTTGGCGTAAAGATAGTTTTTTAAACACTACAGGGTGTTCGTAAACATCGTGCACACACGGAAGTGGGTTCATATAAACATAGGTCCGCAAACGCTTCGTTACCGATCTACAGAGTGTTGAAATTTCAAGATTTTTCTTGAAAAAATGCAGGAGCTCTAAAGGGCATTATAGGACATATATTATTGGGTATGTCAGATGGTTGTTGAATCAAAAGAATGATATTTTTTCAGGAGTCATGTTCCCTTTTTTGCTATGCGCCGCTGGCAGATTCTAAAATACAAAATGAATTTTCTGTTTTGATTAGAAACTCTTTTCATTTCTGCGACCATTATCGAGAAAAAGATTAAAAACGATTTTCTGTAGAAATGATTTATTTTAGAATACAAAAAACCTAAATAATAACTATTAAACTAAAATTACACCAAATGTTGAAAGTGACCCCCTTCTACCCTTATTGCATTCCAAATTTGAGCAAAATATCTCAAAAACTGCAGGAGCTCTAAAGAAAAAAATAAGAAAAATCTTGAAATTTCAACTCCCTGTAGACTGGTAACGAAGCGTTTGTGGATCTATGTTTTTATGAAATAAGCCAAAGACTTATCCCCTTCCGTATGTGCACGATGTTTAGGAACACTCCGTATACAGTCCCAGGAGATTAAGTTCATTTAGATCAAATCGACATACAATCAAGTCTAATATCGGGGATTTTCGTTTGACAGGAGGGACACCCTGTATATTCAGAAATCATACCCATATGTTTTTTTTATAAATATATATATACGGGGATACCTCGTCCTTAAAAATGGTATAAAACAAAATTGCCTGCCAGTATTAGCGATTTATTAAGGAATTCGTCTGCTTACCCCACTCTGACCTATACATTGAACATCTTTCTTAAAAAATAACGTTTTAACTCATCTGTGACGAGGTTGATTGCCCAAAACTTTGTGGAGTTCATTCACTTATAGATTTCTATTTATTTTTGATCGCTAAAAAAATTGAAAAACGGCAAGTAATAATTTAAACGCCACGAAATTTAAAAGGTAATTTTTTTAAGGATTAGGTATCTACTGGGAGGTCTCAGAACACACACCTTTACTTGTACATCTAATTTGTTTAATAACGTTACAACTCATTAAGATATAATTCATAGATAATTTTCTTTCAGTATTCGGTATAATAAAATAACTGCATATTTATTTGATTAAATTTTATATAAATAAATATTTCTTTGTTTCAGAAAGCTCCTGAAATGTGGGTGCTGCCGCTTCTTTTGATCGGTACAGTTTTTGTGACAGCTCAAAATACTGAAGATGATATTAAGGATGGTGAATTATCCAGAAAAATATTAGGCCAAAGGTTAGTAGATGCGGGAGAGATGTAAGAGAAAATAAATTTTCATTTAAAAAAATAGTAATCAATATCTAAATATACAAAGTGTAACAAAAATATGTACAGCAAATTTAACCACAGTTTCTGAGCTCGATTAAAGCTTATTTACATAAAATGGATATTAAAAAACTTACAGGGTGTTAAAAAAGTAGAAATTTTAGAATTCAATTTTTGCTCTCACTCTAAAACGGCTGAACATATTTTTATGAAAATGAACATGGGATATAAGTATAGAATGATCAATAAAATGGAGTTAGTGACGTTTAAAATTGTGTTAAATCTACAAGCTCTTAGAAGAGTTCCGCACCCCTTTAACCCCACTACTTTTTTAGACAATGAAATTCAATTAAAAACAGGACGCCAATAAAATCTTACATCTATTTTAATTTTTTTAGTTTCTAAGTATTTGTTTGTGAAACACTTAATTTCTGAGGTATAGGCCCCTAAAGGAAGGTCATAGTGAGAAATATAATGACATTTTTCTAACGATCTATAACTCTGTAATTAAGGCTTTCACAAACAAATACTGTGATGTTTCTTTATTTTAAACAACAGTTTATTTATTAATAATTTATTTAAACACTTATTTATTTTATAACACTATTATTCTAATTTATATATATTTCGAATGTCTTTGAATCATTCACTATTTATATTCACCACTGTCTATCTACTAATTAATTCCCGCTTGGTCCTCCACCAATATTTTTATACAAATTTAAAAATTTGGCGAATGTGCTAGAAAGTTCACCTATTCTCACCAATACACTAGAAACATTATCCCGTTCTTTCTCGAATAGACATCGAAAGCTCCTCCGCCATAGTCGTCACATATGTTTGGTCTTAAGAGGTTTAATTATGTATGATAATCGGACAAGTTGCGCCTCAAAGGCCAAATAAGACAGAGAGGAATTTGGAGGATTAGAGCATGACTGAATAATGAAATGGCTCACATTACAATACTAAATTACATTATAGCAGATGTACGATTTCATTTGTGTTTTCTTCTTACTGTCATACTTGCGCTTTATTCTTCAACGTTTTCTTCTTTTGTTTCCGCTTCTGGTTATTCTTCTCAATTTCTTCCTGTTTCTGATCTTCTCTCTCCATCTATGGATCTCGTATCTTATTTATATCTTTCATTAGGGTCTTCCCAATAAATTTTCGGTCGTCTCTAAGGTCTGTTATTTTGTGGTTGCCATTTCATTGTCTTTTTAAGTGTTGATTCATTTCCTTTCCTCTTTGCTTTTATAATTTTCACAATATCTTTACATTCTAAATATATTATATAATTTATTTCTGTGTTAATAAGCATATTTTCTTTGGGCCCACTAAACTATTTTCAGTCTCCTTTGTTTTTTTTTTACTAATCTCCATGCCCTTTTATTCATAATATGCGAAGCGGCCTGCTTGAATCCTTCGTTTTATTTCTTGTCGTTTTTATTTTGTTTATAATTGTTCCCAGATATATAGTTTTTTACTGTTTCATAGTTTTATTCTCCGATTTATTTTCATGTATTTTGTGTTCTTTTCGTTTATTTTTAGTCTTATTTTTTTTCTGCTTATTTGTTGTTCAGAGCCTCCTCTTATATTTTTTAATTACCATATTCTGTATGATAGATCCATTGAACTCCTGCATTATTGCTTCTACAGCTATCTTAAATAATGTTTGTTTTATTTTTATTTGTTTCGTTGTTCTCTTCTCTGTTTGTACGACTGATTTTGAATGAATGATCTTCTTATTTTGAGGATCATTTAGTAGTAGTAACCTTCACGTTAAACTATTGCATGCTTACCTTGAACTCAAACAGTGCAATGAATAATAATAAAAGCATTCCGGAATTTTTGAACACCTTGTACTTGACGATTGTTTCCCATCCTGTATCATAATGACATTAATGATGATGTTGCAAACCTTATGAAAAAGAAAGAAGTAAAGTAGAAAACATCAATTACAGACAAATAATTGCAGAACATGATTATCTCATGCCTAAATTGCCCTATTATGCCACAAAACAAGTGCTATTATCCTCCTTGAATGTAATCAATTAAATAAGGCGATTTCACAGGAATAAAAAATTTAAACATGCCGACTTAACTTGCATGGTTTACACGAGAGATAAACATATTTGTTTATACGTGTTGTCATCTGTGTGATCGAAGATTTTTTAAATATAAAAGTGGGTAACGTGATAATACCTGTAGAATTGAAATTAGACTTTTGAGCAATAAAAAATATTTGTTTGTAAAATAAATTGTACACATTTAAAACGATCATCTATCATCTTCTTTTGTCTTCTCTATCTTCTTAATTTTGTCACCCCTCGTAAGAAAATGAGAGGTGACAAATACCCACAACGATCATTTGGCCAAATTCTTGCTTAGAAATTATAAATTTTTAAAGATCTAAACGTCTAGGTTTGCAAAAAGGTAAATATCCTTCAGTATTATGTATTGCAGTTAAATGGAAATTTGTAGATAAAAAATTCAAGGATATTTTTTAAATAGCTCTTTATATTTAGTATCAACATTAAACAATTTGGCTGAAATCTCTTTAGTTTTTAAATACAATTTTTTTCGAATACAATCTAATGAAGTTTCACTACCGATTATTTTAGAATTTTTGAAATTCAAAATTAAGCCAAAATATATTAAAAAATCTGCACCTATAATTGGTTTGTTCAGAATCTCTGGGTTTGGTTACATTAGCAATAGTACAAAAAGGAAATCCTTCTTAATCCAACATCTATATTGAGCATTTTTTCCATATGTAAGAAATGTATTGTTGGAAGCTGAAGCAAAAATAAAATATTTATCCATTGATCCTTTAAAAATTTTGTTTGTAACTACACTATCTGCTCCTGAATCTAACAAAAAATCTAAATTGTTTATTATATCCAAAAGAAATAGTCTTTTAGAAGATTTTTCACCTAGGCTACCTAATGTTGTCTCCTTACTTGTTTTTTTTTATAAATCTGTTGAAAGGTCATTTAATTGTGTATCCAACTATAATAATAAGTAATTGCATTTTACTAACTTAATATGTACCTAGCTTTTTAAAATTTACTTAGGTTAAAAGTAATCTTAATTTAAAGTAATAAAATTAATTCCATTTTGTACCCCGAAAATGCTCAAAAATAATAATTTAAAAACAAAAAATTGAGCAGTGGAATCGTCTACCCAAAACAAATATAAAAATAACATCATTAAATACAGTTTTTGTGTTCTTTTCAAATATGAAAACGAATTATTACAAATGTTCTTTTGAGGGTGGAAGAATTTCTGAATTTTTAGAAATTGTATATTGGATTTTTTTACCCCATGTCCCTAAATTTTAGAAAACACAATGTTTCGCATTTTAGGAAAACTAGAAAAATATTTTAATACCTACTTATATTATTCTATAATATTATTCTATATAAATAATAATTATTGTGAGAAGAATTGTCGTTCCTTTGACGATATCCGTCCATGTCTCATTACATCTCATATTTCTAAGACTGAAATAGTGTCTGGGTCAGGCACGTTTCATGCAATTTTAGACAAGATTTATAACCCGACCTGACTCAGAGACCACATGAAAAAGTATGTCGACCTGGTTCTAGTCGAAATGTAAACACTTATGACCATACTAAACAGTTAGCTACAAATAGCATGGATGTCATTGTTAATGTTTATTAAATCGATTAGATGTTTGAGGAAAAAAAAAGTGTAGGTAGATGCAAATCATCGACATGAATTTTAATAGATTTAATGTAGGTTTTTAAAATTGAGATAAATGTTTATATTTTAATCTTTGATTAATTTTTCGATAGTGATAAAAGGTACATATAAAAAAAAATAAAATTTAAAATGCAATATGGCATTACAGTTAAAATTGTAAGTTTGAAATACAATATTTTTATTAAAAAATTTAATGTGCCCTCTAAGAAACAAGATTTAAAAAAAATATTAATTTATTATGTTTTATTTTGATCAAAAATCTATATTTTGAGTCAGGAAAAGTCAGTAGGCAATTTTTACGATCAAATCTTTTAAAAAATAACTGTATAATAAATTAATAAAGGCTGCCTTATACAATTTAAATAAATAATTTTGCACGAAATACAATTTTTTCTTGTTAATCTAAGCTATGTGCTCAGTGCACACAGCCACTTTTGGATCTTTTAATTTTAATTTTATATTATCACTCAGTATGTTAATTGAGTAATTTCATTTCATATTTGTTTACCTAATAACCCAAATAATGTCTCTAATTAAAAAAGGTTTCGTTTTATTGAAAAATATGTTCTTATATTGTAATCCGGCAAAGTAACAATAATGTTTATTACTTGCTTAGTAAATATTAGTGAATTTTTTTGTTTACATATCCGTGTTCAAAATTTCTCTTATTTTATTATAGTAAAAAAAATTAAGTAAGTGTATTTCTACTGAAACGGCAGTAAAAAATTAGTAATTCAGGCCTACTTATAAAACACTGTATATAAATATAACTGTTTTCTGAATTTTATTACAAAATGACACTTTAAAGTGAAAATGTTGTTAAAGATCTAGGTACAAAAGAAACCAAATAAGAAAATAATAGAAAATATTTATATTGTTCAGATGACCTTAATAATATTATAATTTATGTCATATTAGTTCCTTTTCACCTTAATTCGCTAAAAAAATCAACAATTCTAGATAGATCGCGCCGTTGGCAGAGAACAGCACTGTACATAATAAAAACCGCTATTAATACAAGAATATCTTTAAATCTGTGACAAGCCCATGCGAAGAATAATAATAATTACCATTCATGGTAGAGTGAACTGAAAGAAAAGCTGTTTAACATTTTATAAGTAATTTATCCTGAGTTACAGAGATACAGTTTGAATTAGGAGTAAATCTTTCAATAAATAATCACACATAAATATTTTAAAATAAAGTGTGAAAAAATTATAACACTACTAAAATAAGTGCGTCTACCCATTAAAGATTCCTAAAATGAATTCGAACTAATCTGTTCATAATTTAAACTGTAAATATGAGTAGACAGAATTATACAGGATGAGCGAAACTCTATTTTTTTTATCCTCGGCATCAACTTCTATGGTTATTACCCTCGTGTCTTATGTAGGCCCACTTTGGGAATGCCAGATTTAAATGAAGAAAATAACAGAAATGCTTACGATGAACTATCAGAGAAATGTTATTCTATAATTGAGTAAACTGGCCATATTTGAGATATGGATAATTTATCAACATTGAACATTAAAAAAATAAGAGAAAAATCTAAATTTTGGCGTCAATATAAAAAAGACAATGATATTAAGGCTTTCGAAAAATTTAAGCGCATGAAAATTATCTTTTAAAAGCAGAGAATAATATATTTATTAACTCTAATAAGTTTTGGGCCTACGTCAACAGTAGAAAAAGTTCTAGTAAAGTTGCTAATAACATGACCTATGAAAATAATGCACTGGATAATCCTGCTGACATACTAAATAGTTTTGCTGATCTTTTTAGCAAGTCGTACGTTCATTCTAAAGTTTCTCATGTTGATGTGAATGAACTTCAATCAACTTATTTAAATATTGACAGTTTTGACGAAAGCCAGGTACTTGACGCATTAAAATCTATAAAACCTAAGCGTATTACAAGACTCGACCATATTCCTGCATTCATTTTGAAAGATTGTGCCCAAGTACTGGCTTATCTTCTGACAATCCTGATCAATATCTGCATCCGTTCTAGTACTATTCCGTCCATGTGGAAGAGCTCTAAAGTATGTCCGATTTTTAAAAATGGAAATCGAACTGACGTTAAGAACTACCGACCTATTTCTATTATTTGCAATTTTTGTAAAGTATAAGAAATATTACTGGAACGCAGTATTTAGCAACATATAAGTAATGCCGTTATCCACTTATCAACATGGATTTGTGAAAGGTCGATCAACAGTAACGAATCTCTCAGTCATTACTCAGCAAATATCGATAAATGTATTCAGACTGATGTTATTTATACAAATATGACTAAAGCATTTTACAGACTTGACCATGGAATTTTAGTAAAAAAACTGTTTGCTTTTGGACTCTCAGATAGTCTTATTGACTTACTAAAATCATATTTGTGTAACCGTTCACAATACGTTCAGCTCAATGGGTTCAAGTGTGTTAAGTACCTAGCCACATCGGGTGTCCCTCAACGATCGAATGTTGGCCCGCTCTTGTTTAATATTTTTATAAATGACATTGGTAGTGTAATTAATGTTAATTATCTACTGTATGCTGATGACCTTAAAATTTATGCTTCCATAAATAGTATTGCTGACTGCGAGCGACTTTATGAAAACCTAAAACAAGTCAATGAATAGTGCCATAGACATAATTTAAAATTGAACCCAGCCAAGTGCAATGTAATATCGTACTACTTAAAGTCAGATCCAACTTTTTACCAGTATATTGTTGACGAAACTCCCTAAACAGACCAAAAAACTTCGCAGATTTAGTCCTATTTAATTCCACACTTTCTTTTACTGATCCTGTTGATAGTATTGCATCCTCATCTAATCGTACACATGGATTCCTCATGATTTTAAGAAAGTAGATACCATAAAATGTCTGTATTATGCTTTTGTCCGATCAATCTTGAATATGCGTCACTTATATGGAGTCCATTGTATCAAGTACACATTGATCGATTGGAAGGAATTCAGAGACGATTCCTAAAATACTTAAGTTTTAGACATGATCTAATTTATCCATCCATTGGCACCCCACACTACGCTTTATTAAATAAACATGGATTTTCAAGTCTCGATATAAAGCGAAAATATTTTTCTGTAGTTATGCTGCATAAGGTCATAAGCAATCAAATAAACTGTGAATATCTACATATACTTAGTTTAAAAATTTCACGTCAAGCCTCAAGATACACTGACTCATTTTACTTACCAACACCTCGTACTAATATTTTAATGAACTCACCGTTGTATAATATGTGTAATAATTATAATCAAATAAGTCAGGAATTGGATATATTCCACATTAGTATTCAGGACATCAAAAGGCATTATTTAGGATAACCATCATTGTACATCATTTCCTGTAATATTTTCCATTTTTGTATGTTTCGTCTAAATATGTTTGTCATATTTTCCTATTCTGTAATTGGGTATTACTTGTAGAATAGTGCATTTAATAAATAAATAAACAAATAAATAAATTATTTGTGGTAGTGATTGCCTACATACTTTGTTTCTTTCTCGGGTAACAGTAGGAATATAGTCTGTATTTTTTCCAAATTATAATTTTCTTAAATTTATTGTAATTTTTAACTGATAACTAACAAATTATTCTTTTGCAGTGTTGTTACTTCGGTCTCTGTGGTAATGGACATCGGCAATGGTACCAAAACGGTCTTCACAGATCCCTTAGGAAAGCCGGTAGAGAAACCTGCAAGTTCTTCTGAATTAGCAAGTCCAATAAACCTATTAAATCCTGATAGGTATGAATTTTATACGTTTGACGACAATGGTAACCTAGTTAGAAGACTTATGTCTCTAGAAGAAATTAAAGGAATAATAGCCACTGGAGATAGTGATGGTTTAGAATATGATTCCGCAATGGCAGAGGCATACATCCCTGAAAAAAGAGTCAATGATGTCTTAAATAACGTCCAAAATGTCCTGAAAGAAGAAATGGAAATTCATAACACAAAGTTAGATTCATTTCCCACATTGGACACTCCGGATGTATCTGATTCCTGGAATATGATTCTTCCGGCTGTTTTTGGCAACTCTGGAGCGGATATAACTCCAGAAAAACCACCTTTGCATGTAACACCGGATACCATTATGATTGAGCCTACAGAACAACATCAAAGTACTCCTAGATCAACACCCATGATTACTTCTACAAAAGGGCAGTCCACAAGTTCTAAACAGGGCATTAGAATATCTTCGTCAACTTCCAATCCTACTACACCTGCTAGAGTAACCGTCTCGTCTTCAATAAGTTTGGATCAGCATAATGACTTAAAAACAGAATCTAAAGAAGAGGATGTACGTTTGACCCAAGCTTTAGATTTGACTACTAAAGAATATGTTCCATTAAGCACAATATCACCACATTACGAAAAGGTAACAACTAATACAGAAATAGATACTACCGTACGAACAACAAAAGCTCCTAATAAAATTGAATATATTAAAATTGATCAAACTACTGAAAATTACACGAATGAAAAAAGTACAGAGTTGCTTACAGTAAATAATCAAGCAGATTTTACAACTGTAACTAGTACTGCTAGTGAAATATCTCAAACTACTAATTTGCCTGAATTGACCATTCAATCCGTAGAATCTTCAATAAATTGCACATCAGTTAAAAATGAATCCGATGGCACATCTACCATAGTACCTATGTCTACCCTAGTACCCATGTTTGATGAAGTTAATTCGATATTAAATCAATTGCTTTCAACACCGTTTGGTAATGAACTTCATAAAAATGCAACAGATAGTACAAATAATAATTTATTAAATGCAAATACAGAAATAATTAACGAAACTGACAAACTAAGTACCGTAATGAATATTCTCTCTGATAGGATTGAAACAACATCGTTTGCATCAGAAGAAGTTAAGAAGAATGAAACCAAAGATGATATTACTACACATGTTGCTGAAAATGATTCAACTGAAGAATATTCTACGACTGTGACGCGTTTATCTGAAAATACTAACAAAAACAACAATATCATTAACGATTTTAATGAAGAGACATCTGTTATGCCTACAACTCTACCAACTATAGAAACTACCACTGTAGAAAATAATAAAAACACGTTTTCAACTGAAAAAGTTGATATTCGTCCTATCACCGAAAACCAATTTAAACCAGTTGATAATGACATTCCTGTTAAAAGTACAAAATTAGAAAATACAAAAGAGGCCATCAAAAACGATGAACATATAGTGAAATCGACACCTGCAAATAAAAATCAAGATAATCTTAATGCAATTACTATTTTAGAACCGATAACACTTATTGATAGTAGTACAATCACTTCAAACGATTTGAATGATACCACAATAAGAGTACCACTGATTGATCCAAGCGAAAGTAAAATACACACAATCAAACCATCTGTGGGGATATTTATAAATGAAACTCAAATTGATAATGCTGATGAAAGTAATAAGAATAATACTGCTGTTCTTATATCTTCTACAGAAATGTACGATGAAAGTAAGATTACGATTAATCTTATTACAAAAGAAAATGTTAACATGAGTGAAACTTCTGTGTCAACAACAGAAAGATTGCATTTAATAACAAAAAAATTACCTTCAGCAACAGAAAAATTATCTTCAACAACAGAAAAATTACATTCAACAACAGAAAAATTACCTTCAACAACAAAAAAATTACCTTCAACAACAGAAAAATTATCTTCAACAACAGAAAAATTACATTCAACAACAGAAAAATTACCTTCAACAACAAAAAAATTACCTTCAACAACAGAAAAATTACCTTCATCAACAGAAAAATTACCTTCAACAACAAAAAAATTACCTTCAACAACAGAAAAATTAATTTCAACAACAAAAAAATTACCTTCAACAACAGAAAAATTACCTTCAACAACAGAAAAATTACCTTCAACAACAGAAAAATTACCTTCAACAACAGAAAAATTACCTTCAACAACAGAAAAAACTTCAACAACAATAAAAACTCCAGCAACAGAACAAATCTCATTAATAACCGAAAAAACCCCCTCAACAACAGATAAAATCAGCCAACTAACAGAAAGAATAAATACGGTCACTCAATCTATTCAAGAAACAAAAATAACTGATATAATGTCAATTAGTAATGAGGGTGGTAAGAAAGAACCAAACTGGACTTTAGTACCAACTATTGCACCTCACAGCGGAGGAACTCTTGGTACGCCACTATCCACCTCGGAAAGTTATCCTGATGTTTTGGATCCTCCAGAACCAATAAATTTAAAGGCAGAACCTTTGAGTGGATTTGGTCTTGAAGAAAGTACTTCTACTTTGGATAGAGATATTTATCAATTTTCTCAGTTGTATAATGAGTTGGCATTTGAATTTTGGAAAACAACCACGAGCTCTTTGAGCCACGCAAGAAGTTTTGTTTTATCGCCATTTGGAACAATTTCTTTGTTGGCTATGATATTTTTGGGTGCCAGAGGTTCTACATCGGCTGAAATGAATGAGATTTTAAAATTAGACGACATGATTACTTTTAATCCTCATTTGGTTCTAAAAAATGTTGGCGAGTCCGTTATGGCCGATGAAAAGGATTCCGGTGTTGTTACGTCGGCGTTCATTAAAGAACTGTTTATGTGTAGATTGAAAGGTAAATTTTTGCCTTTTTACAAAGAAAGAGTCAGAGCATTCTATGACGGTTATGCCGAAGAAGTGAACTTTAAAGAAATTGGAGATATTATACGTAGAAGAACCAATCTTCAAGTTAAGAAACACTCAGATGGGAAAATTGCAGAGTTTTTGACCGATATGTCTGTTGTTGGCAGACCTCCATTAATTGGATTTGGTATAAATATTTTCCAGGTGAGTAATTATAACATTATTGATCTTATTATTTCACTTCAAATTTGATTAGATTAAATACGATTTCCCCACCTCGACTATTTCAGATCTAATGTGGACATCCTTTGATCATTATTTAGAACACTTTGTCTAATTTGGTCTATTCTAGTAGATTTCATAACCTTCGTAATTAGATGCTCTTGGCTTTTCTTCTCATCTTAGTCTTGATATACCTACCTTTGTAGTAGTTACTCCTCTCTGTATTGTACTTGCATATTTAGAGTTATGTGTGCTCTGTAAAAGGTTCTAAATTCCAGTATGATTAATATAAGTGATCTCTGTGTTTCAATTCCCGCAAATACCAATATTGATTTTCTACTGATTAAAATAAAACCAGGCTCCCAATGTTTATACATTTTGCTTATTTACATACCTCCCTCTAATCTAGAAAAATAGGCCTGAGTTTGTAAGAGATCTGGGGATATACTTTGATCCTGAACTTACCTTCACTAAACACATTGAATCAATGGTGTCATCTACCAATAAAACGCTAGGGTTTGTCATAAGAAGTTGCAAGCAATTCTCAGTTATGTCCACATTAAAAATCTTGCTTGGTTCGATCGAAACTTGACTATGCATCTGAGATATGGAGTCCCAGACAAAATGTATATATTGACCTAATCGAAAAAGTTCAAAGAGAATTTATGAAATCGGCTTCTTTTATATTAGATGGTATATATCCCCAAGAGGCTTTCCTCATGATCTGCTATTAACACAATTTACACTCTCAGATCTGGCAAAACGTCGAACTTTTCAGCAAATAACACTACTTTGGAAAGTTCTTAACGGTCACATAGACAGCATTGATTTGGTAAATTATGTTCAGTTGAAAATACCACGCACAGGGCTTATGGTGTATTTTAGCTTTTATTTGCCAACAGCAAGTACCAACATTTGAAATTCATCCCCACTGCATCAAGCAATTAATGAGTATCATACCATCCAAGACAGCTTGGATATTTTTGGTTGCAACATATTTCAAATTAAACGTGAAAAATGTCAAGTAGAATGAAAACTTAATTTTTAAAAAATATTTTATTTGGTTAAGTACAAATAACCCCGACAATATTATCATACGATCTGAATACCTTGGATGATAATTACTAACTAACTGAAAAGACTATTCTCCAAGCAAGATTGAGATTAAATTTGTCAGCATTTTCTGATTAGTTTCTATAGTAGAGGGTAATATAATTCGTGTTACTTTGGGTTAATGTGTTATAATTTTTACTTATGTGTATTTTTTTTTTCTCTCGTGGGCTCATCTGACTATGTGTCTCCGAATAACACTGAAGCATATTGGCTTATTATGTTTTACCCCATGTTAGTTCATAGCACCCACTCTATCACCTTTGTACCTTGTACAAGTTTGCACAGATCCTTGGGTGAGTGAGTTCTATACTTTGTTGGATCAACCTGGGGTTGTCCAAAAAGAGCCTGTCTTTTGCGATCTAGAGCTTCGCATTCGCACAGTATGTGTCTGGCCGTTTCTGGTTTCTTGTGACATAGTCGGCACATGAGTTCCCCATTGTACATGCCAATTTTGTTCAAGTGTCCCTTTACTGGGGCGTGCCCAGTCATGAACCCTGTTATCACTTTCAACTGGTTCCTATTCATTAAGAGTAGTTCTCCAGTTCTTTTGGGACATGGTCTGCCTATTATGCCTTATGTGTATTACTGAATTCTAGTTCATTGTGTAATCTTAGTTTAGTTATTGGTATTATTGTCAATTAAACATATAGTACTTTATCCTGTAATAGCTATCCAATGTTAATATCCATTTTTTCCTGTTTCGCATACAGCCACAGGCTTTTTCATGGACATTGACACCTGAATTGCAAATAATACTATATATTTACAGTCTTTATGTTCAACATTTCTCTTAATATTGTTTTTTGGGTGGTGTGTTAAATAAATAAATAAATATTTGCCCCTTATGAAGATGTTAGTCTTTTTATAAATTCGTCCACTAATACTGATCAAAGGGGGGGTAATAGTACTCCTGTCAGTCCTGCCTGCTACACTTGAAATAATAATTAATAGATAATACCTAAATTATAACAGGTTTACTTTATTTAATATTTCATAGAATCAAATTATTTTTTTTAACATCAAACGTACTTTATTTTAAAATTTTATTACAGACGGACTGTAGTTCAGGATTTTCCGAAGGCAGAGATGGAGAAATGCATTTTACAGTTCTGCCAACCATAAGACAGAGAAGATTGGTTCCCATTCCAGCTGTTCTCTATAAATCTGGATTTTTAGCAGGTTATGAACCTAGTTTAGATGCTACGGCGGTTTCTATCGGAGGAAAAAGTCAAACAATCAGTACTATTTTCGTAATGCCCGGACAGCAAGGAACACCTGCACCAGGAGATGGCTTGTCAAGGTTGGAGAAGAGTTTGGTTGAAAGTTCGCTCAAAAAAGGTATATTCAAATCAGTAATTCAATGTATTCATGATTACAATTTATAATTTTTTGTTCTTTATTTAAACTATACCTGTATATAATATATACCTATTTATCTTTCTACTTTTATTTATCTTTGTATTTTGTTTTAAAATTGTTGTACACACACTTAAATACTACATATCTTTTTTAATGTTCTACTTGACTTTTCCAATATCATGTAAATGGTCTCAATGGAATAAAAGATTATTTTTATTATTATTATATTTTGTAGGTGCTTGGCCCAGGCTTTTGAGATCTTTAATACCGAGAGCAGGATTAGAAGTACAAATTCCTAAAATAATTCATAGGTCTGTGGTGAATACTACTGAAGCGTTAAAGAAAATGGGCTTTGTAGAATTATTTAAAAAAGGTCGAGCTGATCTTGTCGGTATGAATGGAATATCGAATGAACTTTATTTGTCAGATATGATTCAAGTCAATCAGTTTACAACCTGCGCCGAGAAGAGAACTGAACACCATTCTGAGATATATCCCAATAGTATTGGACGATCGCAAAGGTAAGATTTACGTTACAGATTACTCCACTAATAGAGTGCATTAGTCATGTACAAAATAAGTCAAACAAAGTCTTTGTATACAATTGGAGACACGACATTTTAAGTGCCTGCTGTAGTCACTAAAATAAGTTTATCTCCAAAATAAGTAGGGCCGTGGCACTAATTATGGCCATTTGTTGCTTTGAAATCTAAAAATAAGCGTTTGTCAACAATGTGAACTAAGTGGTGGTTAGAGGGTGTAAATGAGCATGTGGCAATATGATTGGACAGGTTTGCAACTAATTACGTATCTAAGGCCAATATAAATCAGTAAAATACATAGTTAACATGTGCAATATATGCAAGCATTATTTGTTGTTTTGGCTAAGAATTTTTCTGCACACATCAGAACAAACATTGGATTTATTAAGGATATCTTTGAATATGCAATTTCCAGAGGTAAGTAGATATTAATACCCAATGTATTTTGTTTTCAACATCATATATTTTTTAAAATTAGAAATAAATATCAAGGTGGCCATTACTAATGACTAATAATTAAGAATTCGTGAGCTACACTGGTGGCCAAAAGTAAAACCTCATATTTTACTTATGGCCACCGCAGTTATTGTGTGGGTTGAGGGGTAGATAGTAATTGAATTATTTTGTATTCTTTCTTTAACTGGATATTAATATGATCTAACAAAAAGAAGAGGTGATAATTGGAAAGGTGCTGAAACAGCATCTGAATTGTATAAAATTTCGCTATAAATTACATTCCTCATACTCAAAACACTACTAATGAAGATAACAAATATGCAGGACGAGTCTGGGGCAGAATTACATCATGATTGAGAAATTGTTCCTACACCATCTTGAATTTAATTTATTCTTGAGGATCCCTGTACAGTCTGTTCGCTATACTTACGCGGGTTTCGGATTAACAAAATTATGCAAATTAGTCATTGACAACCAGTTTCAATAAGCCTCTTCCCAAGAAATTAGGTAAAATTGCCCTAATGGTTAGATTTAAATTAAAATAACATTAGGGTAGGTACTAAATTTGTTACAAATATTGCAGTTGAATTGATTCTTTGCAAGTGTTGACATTGTATGTATATTGTAAATTTAGTGGAAATTTTAAAAATGCCTAGATGTGTGTTAGATGTAGATAGTCTAATTTGTAGTGTACATAAGTATTTTACGGATGAAAAAGAAAATGGCGGTCCTTTAAAATCGGTAATGTCTGTACAACAACGCGTATGCGATGCTCTAGAAATTAGTGAAACAAAATTAAGAGGAGTATTACAAAATCACAATAGTGAACTGCCGAAAGAAGATCACCGCAAAACTCGTCTATCATTGAAAATGAAAGATATTCCAGATGGAAAGAAATTTGAAATTCGTGATACCATTTATCGAATGAAGGCCAACAAGGAACATGTGACCTTAAATAAAATTCTCTCGGAATTAATAGATAGAAAATTTGACGATATTGGCAGAACAAGTCTATGGCAAGTGATACATAACTTGGGTTTCAAATTTCAAAAGGAGGATAACAGAAAGACCCTTTGTGAAAGAAATTTTGTCGTGCACAAGAGAATTAACTTTCTACGAAAATATTCTAAATTTTAAGAAGAAGGGGCGAATTTTTTATATTTAGACGAAACATGGATATTTTCTAGGGGTGTACCCAAGAGAATATGGTAAGATATGATAACGTAAAGTCCATCAAACATACTGATGGAGAAGGGAAGCGACACATAATTTTACATGCAGGAGGGAAATCGGGTTTTATAGAAGGTGCTGATTTAATATTTTCATCTAAATCAAAATCCAGTTAATATCACGATAATATGAACACAGAAATGTTTGTAAAACGGTGGCATGAAAAATTTCTTCCAGGTTTAAGTGAGCCCAGCGTAATTATTTTAGACAATGCACCTTACCATTCTGAAGTATTAAACAAAAGTCCAACGAATTCTTGGACTGTTGATAAAATTAAAGAATGGTTGATAAAGGAACATATACCATTTCCTCAATATATATTAAAATCAGAATTATTACGCTTGGCAAATATACACGCAAAACCAAAAACTTTTGTTGTGGATCAGATTATTGAAAGTTACGGTCATCAAGTTTTACGTTTGCCACCGTATCATTGCCAGTTTAATCCCATCGTATAGGTATATATGGGGAATAGCAAAACAATTAATGGTGATGACAGTGATGATGATGACGATTATGATATTTTGGATGATAATGACTGATTTTCATTTTTGTTGGCAAGTTCAATTTTTTTATTTTTTATTTGAAATTCTCTACATGGAACAAATTTTTATGTTTATTCTAAATAACCCTCTTATTATACAAAGACCATATTTTCTGTGTGAAGCGTAATATAAAATTATTATTAGGTTTATAATAGCCACATTAGACTCCATTAATGAAGAAATTTAATTCTGCTCTCAATTATACAAAAGATTCTTCATTATTATTTAATTAAAAAGTTGTACATTATTTTTCATTTCATTTAACCCATTGATATTTCCCCAGAACAGTTGAAACTTTCGGGTACTTACCTGGAAATACTCATAAAATGCGAAACCCGCGTAAGTATAGCGAACAGACTGTACCTTACACAACTAAAGATGCACAATCACCCTTACCTGGCTCATCTACCCTTACCTGGCTCATCTACCCTTACCTGGCTCACCTACATCAACCCTTACGATAACAACAAATAGCAAACTAATATTTAAAAATGCAACTTAAAAATTAGTGGCCCTAAGTAAAGAACTAGTGGCGGACCGATGGCCAATAGTAAAGAATTTCTTCAAATTTATAAAAAAAAATGCAATAAAGAATTACATGCTATTAACACAATAGATGCGCATATATTCTTGAAAATTACATACTTCAACCTATCAAATGCTATTTTTATTTTCTTTTTTTTTTTTGTTAAAATATGATTTATAAACAGGCCCCACAAAAGCAATTTTGTCTTAAGGTGGCCATAAGTAGTGCCACAACCCTATAAAACACGTACTGATAAATTACCTCCAAAAATATAACAACATTTACTGGATGAGCAACAACTTTCGATAGTTTTTTGGAATTATAAAAGTCCGAATGTCCAACGTGGAACCACCATGCACATCGCTGTGCAACTTACAGCTATTATACAGACTGAGCAAGGGCGGCTCCAAGACGAATTTTCAGAGAGGGGGGGGGGGGTCATTGCCTTTAGATATTCCCTTTCTAGCATATTTTTTTGAATAAAAGGCTCATAAATCGTAAGAATATTCTTCTCGGGGGGTTCATCTCCCCATGCCCCCATGCCTCCCTCCTCCCTCCACCCTCTCCGCATAAATAGTCTTTAATAAATAATCCATAAAATACTTAAATCCTATGTAAAATAGAAAAACACAAAATCAAATTCTTGACAAACACACAAAAGAGCATCCGCGAATTGAAATTTACTACGCTTCTATCAAGTACAAGGTAGTTTTCCACATCCGCAATAAAAAATAGTTCCAATATGGAAAAACCATAGTTTTAAATTTTGACTATAATCCGCAATTTTTTTTTTTTTCAAAAATCGATAAATACCTATCTGCAGTTTTATTTAAAACCTGTAATTTTGTGACACTAAAGTGATATGTCACCGATTCACAAGGAAACAAGACACACTTGTTAACAAAAAAGAAAAACATTACATATTTCCATCATATGAAGGTTTACATTCAAATTTTAGACAAGGCACCCTTGCTAATATATTTGATGCACAAGAAAACTAGATACACTTGTTACCAAAAAATGATATCTTCTAATATCTCACTCACTTGAACTTGAACGTTCACGTTTAAATTTTTGACGAGCCACATTTCCTAACGTATTTGATTCACAAGAAAAACGAGACATGCTCGATAACAAAAAATTAAAATCATTTCATATTTCACTTACTTCAAGTTTTCGTTCAAATTTTAGACAAGGCGTGCTAATATAATTGAGGCACAAGAAACAAGGGAAAAATTTGAGTATATACAAAATTGACTGATTTTTAAAAAAAAATTGAGAAAACGTTCTATAGACTGTATATAATTAGGTACCATACTTTTTTTTTGGCGGAACCACTCTTACACCTAATTTTTTCGTTTTATATTTTTAAAGTTTTCGCCATTTTTGAGTAGAAAAGTTAAAAATGACTAATGATCAGATGACAGGACTATATTGTTTATAATCGATTTATTCTACAAATATTATTATTTTGATTTACATATTATAAAATTATTAAAAAATAAAAAAAATATCATTAAAATGCCGTTTTAACTATAATGTAAAATCAGTAACAAATAATTCACAACTTGACATCAATGTACTTCTTATATTGCATCCTTAAATGTCAAATCACAACCAAAATAAATTTAATGAATTATTAAATTAACCTAAGCTATTATTAACACATAAAAAAATAGGATTTCTTCAGGTTTCCGAAAACAAATTTCGGTTACATTCAACTTTAAAGACACACGAATTTCAAAATTTTTTTTTACTATTAGAAAGTAAAGAAGTTATATATCATGACAATTAAAAAAAAATTGGAGTTTATCCACGATTAAGCGAGAAATTTAATATTAAAATCTCAAAAATTGCACATTTTTAATAAAATATTTTGACTTATGTGTACAGGGTTGCCAAGTATTTTAATATGTAAGAAGATATAATTAATTTATAAACTCGTAAATTATTATACTTTTATGATTTGTTTATTTAAATAAAAATAATAGAATTTTGTGATAAAATACCAGAATCTGTATCAAACATCGCTCCCGACCCCTAACACAGATCAAAGAATAATATCTGTTCATGTCAGCTCATACAATTGTTTATAAAATTAATAACAGCAATCCTTTGTAAGTTTTTATAACTTACTGACATTTCTCATGACATTTTTGAGTATTTTCTAAAAATACAATGTTACAAAATCATTTTATTTGACTCATTCAACATAAAATTTCACTCTAAAGTCTCTGCTACCGGGTCATACTGTTAATACCTAGACTACTTAGTTTTTTAAATATTGCGGGTAACGGCCGAAATAATAATAAGTAATAAATTAATCTTGGCAACCTCGCTCATTATCCAGAAAAGAAATGTCAAATATTAAAATTTTCAAGTTTTAGGTTAAATTTAATAAAAGACTGGTTTTCTTATTTTCAAAAAGTATTTAATTAAAATATATAATTGATTTATACTTTTTTTCGTATTTCCAAACTTAAGGTGAGTTAAAATCATACTTAATATCATTTAAATCAAAAAAATAAAGTAAAACTGGTTAAACAGTGTGTCCCTAAAGTCGAACGTAACCCAAATTTCGTTAATTATATGTTATTTTGTGTCTAAAAGTGTAAAAAACACTTTTGTGAAAATGTAAAAGTTTTGTGTATATTCAAATTTTCCGAAACGAGACACGCTTGTTGACAAAAGATTAAAATTATTTCATATTTCACTTACCTACTTGAAGATTCACGTTCAAATTTTAGACAAGGCTACGCTTGCTAATATATTTGATGCACAAGAAACAAGACACACTTGTTAACAAAAAATTAAAATGTTTCATATTTTAGTTCACTTATTACTTCACTCCTTTTTCAAAATATATTTGTTGCCATATTAGCCAGCAAATTTCGAAAACAATTTTTTCCATGAACACTTTTATTTAAAATACGTCTGAATAACAGCGCACAAGACAATATAATGACGAATATCCAATAACCAATAAAGGTTTTTTTTTGTCTATAAATTTGTGAATCAGCGCACTCGATAATATAACTACAGGGTGAAATGATACGGAATATGAGTAAAGCATAATAATTATCATTTCGTTACATATCTTTAAACTTCTTTTATACGTACTTATATATGTAGAAAAACAATGACAGAATGATTTGTTTTTTGTTTGGCTGATTGACGTCACACTAATATGTACAGAAATAGTCTAGCATCAGTTAGTTGTTTTAACTACAGCGGTAAGTTATGTATACTGCGCATGACAATTAACATTATATTCTGTACAGAAACGAGAATTTGTACAGGTTCTGTTTAAATTTTCTATTTATATTGGCCTTCTATACTTTTTCTATGAGTTGTATGTCGTATGGCCATATCGTTACGTTCCTTCCAATACCACTTTATTACATTTTAATACGAAATGAGTTAAAGACTGGTTTTGCACGTATTGTTGACGTTGTTTTGATTGATTCTGCTACCAGTTATTTATTAATTTTTAATAGCACGGATCAGATTTTCTCACTAAAACTTTTTAATAGTACCTACATAGTTTTTTTCATCTCATTATAAACATTTACTAATACGAACAATTGGAATGAAGGTAACGATATTCTTAAAATTTTACCGATATAATATAATACTAATATGCACCTATTTATTTTATAGAAGTATAGAAGACCTTCCCTTCAGCAGCATTGAAGACCCTCTACATGACATAAGTTATTTAAAATTACCACTTCCACTGAGACCAAGACAAGCTCGAAAACCAGTCACACCACGGCTAAAATTCGACAGGCCATTTTTGTACTTCGTTCGACACAATCCAACAGGACTGATTCTCCACATAGGCAGATTTAATCCAAGGCTGCTACCGTGAGAAATCGAAGTCCTAGATTAAGTGAAGATGATTGTACAATGCTGCAAGGGGGCGATAAGCGGTTTACATGGGATACTATTTTTCTTCTTATTGAATCAATTCAATTTTAACACAGATATTTTTTCCATACCATTTACGGAGTTGTTATGTCTTCAAGAAGTTGTAGAATCACTTTAAACACACTAATCGACATATAAAATGAAGAATAGGTACTAGTAGGTTTATCGCGCGTTATAAATAAGAAAATTTGTATATAAGTTGCTCTTCACGTTGGCCTATGCATTGGGAGAATGGACTGGTACTGGTAAGCAAATTGTGATTCCTGTCCATATATTGGCAGGACAACGCCAACTTGAGGATGTTTATTGTTGCGATTCCATATGCATTATTCTTGGGCCAGGTAATATTTACGTTCTACAGGCCATGAACATTGGCTAATACTAGTTTGTAACGTATTGGCCAACGTGAAGAGGAGACGTGCGCAACCATAGACATTAAAAAGTGTACGGTTATGTTTAGCTTGTTGAATTGGAACAGTAAAGTTGTTACAGAAATAGATCTGTACGAATAATTCGATTTAAAAAGCAGTAAATTATAAAGGGGGTGAGGGTTAATGTTATACAAATTTTAATTGATAATAGCTGACATCAAAACTAACAGAAAGTCTGCGTTTAAGTCCAAATTTCAATAGTTTTCCAGAAAAATACGTGTAAAGTTCTCACTTATAACTCATAATATCAGCGTTGCCAGTTTATGCAGCCCGGCCAATGTTACAATGCAGTCGAGCCGTATAAACTAAAAAGTTTTAATAATATGATGACTGCTGTTAGTTCTGGTCAAGCTAAACATCTACAGAGCGCATTAGGCCGAAGACATAGTGACTCAATGAGCGAAGCTAAAAGCAGCTTTGTTTTATAACTCTTAATACTGTTGAATTTCCTTTCGGATTAAAAATGTTTATCCCATAGATATTTAGTTTGAAAGGGTTTGTCCAAGTGGTGCTAAAATGTTTGTTAGTTAATTGAAAGCAAAGGAGAGGCTCTAAAGTACGATTGAAACATTTTTTAAAACTGTTCTTGTACTTTAGGGATCATATTTGTGGTTTTATTTCGTCAGGAATAATTATTTAAGCTGAAATCTTTAATTTATTTGAGAAACTGCAATCAAAATTATGTTATTCTCTATTTCAGTATAAAGATTTTAAGTTGTAAGAATTATCTCTTATTTACAAAACGTTAAACGTTTTCTGTAACTTAATAGTTGTGTTACAAATTTGTTAAAATAAAACACGATTTTAAAAAACTAGTATTTTTATTTATAAATATTTCGTTCATTCTTACCTTGCAGAACATAGAAATGCTTTGCTAGTCCTTGGGGCGATGGGACCCTCGACGACGTCTTAAGAAAGCCTGTTTGGGTATATATACACTATTAGGCATTCCAAACAAAATAGGTGGGTTTTGACCACTGATCTATATTATTTTACTGGATAGGATATAGGCTGACATACTAAGAATCCGTTCCACCAAGGAGACCAGCAGGGTTATTCTACTAAATTTATAGCCCGGCTAAAAGTTTATAGCCCGGCTACAAGTTGGATTTTAAAGTTAGGAACATATAAAGTTCAAGCCAAAATCCAACTTGTAGCCGGGCTATAAATTTAGTAGAATAACCCTGCTGAAGTGCAACACTGCTGGCCGATTTGGGCAAATTATGGTGGGATAATTTGACATACCTTACCTACCCTACCTATTTCTAAAAGATAATACGGTTTTTAAATTAAATACGGTCTCAATATGAAACGTTTCTTCTATAAAAATATGAACGTAAAAATGAAACAAAGTTTTTTACCTAACGGATTTATAAACACGAAAAATTTATCGACGGCAGACTTCGTTGAGAATGCGGCTTTTACTTTTAACTGGCTGAAGTCAATATTAGGAACTAAAATAATTTTTAATTCAATCTCGGATCTGGTTCAACCGTCGATTCCCTTTCCATAGCGGAGACCCCACCAACGACAGTACCACCGCGCATTGATATGTCGATCGGCGATGCGCATCTGTCTTAGCCCAGGACCAACATTTCAATCTCGTTTAATACACACCCCCACAAATTATCGCATCTCTAAAATGTTTGCAAAAGTTTGAAGATGTTTTTGTTTTTCGAACTGTTTAATTGAGTTAGATGTTCTTTTTGGACGAGAGGTGGTTTCTTCAGGAATAATAATCTTTATGTTCTTAAAATAAAATGTAATTTTTGAGTGATTACCGGGTGTTGCCATAATATCGGTTTTTGGTTGGAAAACTTGTATATCTCCTCTAATAACAGAGAGAATAAAACAATCAAAAAAATAAAATTTTGCGAAAAAATAAGGCTAAAGTAGGCTATTAATTATAACATGCTATTATTGCTTGTACACTCCACAGGGTGTTACGAATTTTCCAACCAAAAACCTATATTATTGTAACACCCGGTATAAACTCGAAAATTAAATTTTATTTAAAGAATCAAAGAGATTACTATTCCTGAAGAATCAACTTATCTTTCAAAAAAAGAATATCCAAATCGATCAAACGGTTAAAAAACAATTTCCCAATTTTTGAAAACTATTAGTTTTTTTTTTTTTTTTTTTTTTTTTTTTTTGTTAGAGTATTGTTACTAGTCATTACTGACTAACCTACAATTTTAATCTAAAACTAATTACTTATCTAAGAAGTCCCCATTGGGCTGTCTTAATTGTTTCTACAGGAAAGCATCACAAGTTGGCGTTAAGATTTATAGTGATGCGATAGTTTTTGTGGGGTGTGTATTTATTAAAAATGAAAAATTAAAATAAACTGATTGAGGAAAAATTGACTTCAATACATGTTTAACAGGGAGAACATTATATGGATACATGCAACTAAAGCGATTAGAATTGGAACTGATCTAGTGATGTTTTCAGGAACATGATTTATATTAAGAATATATTAAGATAATGTTGGTAGGTAGTTAATAATCGCAAAATTAATTTTAACAATAAGTTCCAGGTGGTTCCGTAGTTACACTAGAACCACCTGAAACTTTAGAGACGTTGCAACCAAACTTCCATTTTAGTTCAAGGACGACTTACCCAAGTCTGACTCAGCTGAGTTTTGTTTATAAATACGGATCTTAGAGGTTAAGTGACTTGTCCTTCGAGAGATTATATTGGTCCCTCCCAAAGAACGTCTAGACAATGTAATACTGATCCAGTCATTAATATCCATTATAAAATAAACTTTTTTGTGAGAGGGGAAGGTAGTAACGAAAATCGGATTATATTTTACGTTTCGGTCCTCTATACAACCGTGGGTGGAGGGAGTAGAGGGGGAGGTGGATCTAATATCTCCAGAACCCAAAGGCGTGCTACTTTAGGGTATAATTTAAAAAAACATGTTTCTTTACTTTTTTTCATATGGAATGGAGGCGGTAGAGGGTAAGGGGTGCAATTTTTTCGCCATAAAATCCAATCCATCGAACCCTAAGTTCATTTACCTTAGTTTAGCGCAAAGGTTCCCAAACTCTTTTGTTTCATAGACCTTCGGTATGTAACAGCAATCGTTGGAAGTCTTCATCATTTTCATTGCACAATTGTGCAAATAAACGCATATTCAATGCATTGCTTCTTCTTTTGTTAACTGCATTAATCATAAATTGAAGCTATTGGTGCAATCTATCACTCAAATTTTTCGTTACTAGATGTTGTTGGTGGATAACACAGTGAATCGCAATAATTACCTCTAGTACAATTCTTTTAAGATGGCTTATAAACCCACGATATCGCCCGACCATGGCAGGAGTTCCATCTGTTGCCATCGAAATAACGATTGTGAATGGAATCGATTTTTCTTTAAAAAATCACTCAAAACATTAAATATTGATTCACTTTTAGTGTCCGTCTTCAAAGTTTTCGTGAATAGTAGCTCTTTATGAATTTCTTCGCCCATAACAAATTGAATATATGCCAATAATAATGCTTTATTGCCAGGTAAAGTTGACTCGTCCAGTTGAATAGAAAAATGAGTTGTTCGTAGATAATCACACATCAGAGCTCATTTCATTAATACGTCTTTGGACAGTGTTGTTACTCAAAGGAATTCTTTTGAGTATGTCAAATGAAGATTTGTGCAGAACAGTTTTTAAAACAGCAAGTAAAATTAACTGTTCTTCAATGGTGTGCGGTTTTCCAAATTTTGCGATAAGTAATGAGATATAAGATGCCCGCAAGCCATCATCGTTGCTTTCAGACGTTGAAGAGAACATACTGTGCACGGTGGGTCTCTTTTCATATTTTTCCTTTAATGTTTGGAAATATTTCAAATCTACCTATTTTATCAGGATGACGCCTTCTTAGATGATCTTCCAGCTTTGATGGTTTCATAGAGTCATTGCTCAAAACTTTGTTGCATAAAAGGCATGTGGGCAATCGTTTGTCTGCCTTTGATGGAAGAAAACCAAATTTTAAATATTCAACACTGTAAGTAGATGTAATTGGCCGGTTCTGGAAATGAGAAAGAGGTACAGAGAGAGGTAATTGGGTAATTAGTAATTATCCTAAGTACCCCCCACCCTTCGCGCAATTAGCAAGTACCTCCCAATTACATCATGTACTGTAATAAGTGCAATTGCACAGTAAGTACCACCCAATTACATCGTGTACTGTAATAAGTGCAATTGCACAGTAAGTACCTCCCAATTACCATGTACACGCCATACTGTAATGATTGTAATTGCATAATAAGTACCTCCCAATTACCCACAGGGTATACATCTCATTACTCCATACATATTAAAGTGTAAGTACACCTTAGGTAGTAATTACTGTATGCAATGTAGTGTAATGAATGTTATCTAAGTGCCTCCTAGTGATTACTGTTGGCAGTAGGTCCTTAACTCTCGACCGTCGTGCCTAGAGTGCTTAGCCTGCGTTAGAGACGGTCGCGCTTAACCGAAATATCGGGGTAGGGCTGAGAAAAAGTGGGGGCATTTTCTAGAGGATATATACTAGGATCCGCATCCAAATAAAATCAGTTTAAAATCGTGAAATTTAAAAGGTCTACAAGTTCCAAATAGTTACCAAGTGTAGTATTGTGTGTGTATTATTCAGGTAAAAAAATATTTATTTGTATTCTACTATGGCTCAAACGCAAATTGATGCGGTTGATAAATTACTTGGAGACTGGCCCACAATATTGGACCAAAGAGAACTAAAGTCATTGGTTATAGGTCAACTTTATATTATTAAAACGATAATGGTCAAAGATACCAGGTATGGTAAATGTTTACTTATTCATTTAATTGATCGACATTCGCTGGAGCTTTTCCAGTGTTGGTTACCGAGGCGCATTTTTGAAATAATGCCATCCGAAGTCATTGCTATGATAAATGATTCTACTGGTCAATATGCCATGGTCTATTTAGGGGAAAAGCCGTGTTACAACTCAACTACTAGGTCTCATATAAGAATCGATCTAGTTGGCCAGCAATCAATTAGTTAAATCCATGGTAGAGTCACTGTAAATATTTTTTTACTTTTAATCACATATAGATATCTAATAAACACAATATTTCATTAAGAATTTCTACAATTTTATTGTAAGTATAACTTGGCCCATATTTGTTCATTTAATAACGGCCAAATATTGTTTCAGATTATTTCGATATGTGGATGATGTATTCCGAAGAGCACTGGCCTAAAGCCATCGACATAGAATCAGCAATAAGCAGACTTGGAAAGGAACTGGACGCACTGGCGATGGATGCATTACACTCCATCAATTACGACGCTGAGGTATGGCTGTTTCCAGAAGCTGTAGCCTATCAAAACGATTGTTATGAGAAATACTGTAAAGGCAGCAGTCTTTGCTGCGAATATAATGCATGTGAGCTGGACTTGGATACATTCTGTGAGAAGATGGTTACCCTAAGTTTGAAACGCTTTTTGAACGAGGCCTTACCATACATCACCCCGCAAATAAGGAGTAAACATGGTTTAGATGAAGATGCAGACGATGAGGCTGATGATGAGGCAGATGACGAAATGGATTAGCGATTACTTATATAATATATCTATCTATCTATCTATCTGTGATTAAAATATAAATAAAACA